ATAATACTATCAATAGCGGTCATATTGGTTATGTAGAAATCTCATAAAATACCGGTGCACTGTAATAGTGTATAGGAATGTACGGACTAAGAGTCAGTGCTGTCTTGGTTATGAAAACAGAAACGACTGATTTAAGACTGACATGATACATGTAATTCTTAAAAATTTTTGGCCAAAAAATGTAAGATCTGTACAATTAGTTTAGAATTATGTTGGTTTAAATGTCACCTAGCATTATGTCACGTAAAAGTTTTACTGGATATAATCTTTACATAAGATTAACCGTGTAATTGGTATTTTTGTGGGCAACAGCATGTGATCTTGAACCACGCCGGGGCTATGGAATTAGCCCTGGACCGATTACCCTTCCCTGATACTCGCGATGAAGGAAAAAGACCGGAAAGGACGAGACACAACCGTTTACTTCAGAGCTCAACCAAAACTGGTGTCGTTGTGTCATGTGTGGGGTTTGCGCGGGCATATTTATACCTCGAATGCGTGAGTCATAGATGAGCTAACATCGAGACCTAGGCGGGAGGGCAATCCAAATATTCGTGTCGGAGGCGGAGCGATCGGATTAAGGGATGTGAATAAACACGATTCACAACAGTATATTCCCCAGTTTGCACAACCGCAATGTATTTGAAATTATTAGGCACAAAAGTCATACTTATTATAGATCCTTTTTTAAGTACACCGGTTTACGTTTAACAAAGTGAATGTCAATATTAGAATATTAGGAACAATTTTTTTATCTAAATTTTGAAAACAAATAGTGAAACATTGAGCCTGCGGCTGATTTTCGATAACATTGCTCCAAAATTGCCTTCCAATTATTTGTTCGTCATAAGCCCAAAAAGATGTCAGCCTAACGAAGGCCATCAATTGGAACATTTTTCTGTTTAACATATCTTATTTGTTTTTGGGTTTATGCACATTCAGCGTACCAACTGTTTGTGGAAAGTCGCTTTCAACTATTTATTATTGAAGTGTTAATGCTAATAATGAGTCATTTGCTCATTTAGATGAACCGCCCATACGACTACATCAACAATAATCTAATGGCAACAAGAAGTCTGAGTTTAAATCGCATCAAGTTGTCACCTAGGAGACCACGTAACTATGACTACACCATTCCTAAAATGTTTTTGGAGCCTAATGAAACACACAAACACAAAATCGCTCGTATTAAAAGTAAGCTAAGGTTTCTCTGGAACGGATCTTCTTGTATTCAAGTATGACAACTCATCTGCATGTCGAAGTCACCACAAATGCCAAAGTTACTCGGTTACACGCACAATCACTTGTCGGTCCTTTCGCTAATCACTGGAAAGGCTTTTCTCTGCAACTTTAACTTTGCTGCCATACTCTTGGGCAGATCAGTAGCAAGGTTCTAAAAAGATCACACAATCGAATAAATTTAGTTGTTGGCCAACCGAAGAAATTTGAATAGCGAGGTACTTTTCTGCGTTAGACTAAAACACCGTAGAGCGATTCAAAAATAGTTATCTTCTCATATTTCTGTCAAAATGCACTGAACCTCCGTCCGGATAGCAAATAAAGATTTTCAAAATGGGTGGAAGCTATTGCAAACGGAACTGACTCCAAGGCAAAAGGCGGTATGATTAATTCATCGATACTGGGTTTTACACCGTGATTAACCTGACGAATTATCCAACTGTGCCGCCCTATTAGTTTGAATTTGGGATCAGAATTAATCCGTCAGGTTAATTTCTTGTGATACTTTTTAATTTTAGGTAAAATTAAATTTGTTACAAAATAATTTATGAAAAAGAATGACAGGTAAGAATGTCACAAGATTCGTCTACGTGTACATTCGTGCTGAATCTGAGGCACAATCGATATCTTACTAATAAGCATGATATTGATTTATTTGGAATCCCAATATCAACAGACAAGTGAGAGAAGGTGGTTTCAATAAAAGTTCTCTCAATACAAATTTCCCGTACCAAAAAGCAAAAAAGGCGAGGCGTTACTAACACTCTTTGGCAAGGAAATCTAACAGCCACACATGAAAATTATTTGTCGAGAACTGATAGTTCGATCTCACGAGTTTATTAGCAGAAAGTTAAGTGTAACGAAATTAATTCTGGCAATAAGCGAGGGTGTTTACTGGGAGTCTCAGAAACAGTTGCGCTGATTGTCTCCTCAAAGGTAGCCGAAACGGTACATCCATCGCATTCCTTAGGCATCGACTTTGAACCAAGAACGCAGGCATGCATATCGGATTACAATCGACGCGCGAACGGGCGCCACACACGCACCACGGCGTGCACGAGCAAGCTGGTTGGGAGGTGGTTGGGTGGGTGGGTGTGTACGAGCGCGGAGACCTGGTGACCCCGATAGCGGGACATCCACTTCCAAGGCAGCTTTTTCATCAGCATCAGCATCATCACCACTGCCTTCGTCGCCGTTTCGTGGAAAGCACACACACACACACACACACAAAACGTGCATACGTGCGAGAACATCTCTGGACCCAAGCATGGCATTCTCGTTTGGTTCCGTATTTTGAAAAACTTGCCTTTTCGCCTGATTGAACTCAAAATGGAGCTGCCCTCACAGGATTTTCAAGCCAACATCGTGGATTATTATGAAAAGTACGTCGACCACTTAAACACTTTTGAGTTTCGCCAATCTATACTTCACTCCACTTAGGCATAGTTTCAATTGACAAACTCCTAATTACCAGTGTTTTAAATTCATCCAAGTGATGGTTATTTGTTCGTTCGTGTCAAAACTCGCTCATGTAGTGGTCGGAGGTGTCGGGATCGTGGAATGAAGGGCAGCTCCATGATTAATTACCATGGGGATTTTCGTTGTGACTTCAGTTAAATTATACAAAAACTGAACGAAATGATTTATTACTTGAAAGCAAAAGCATTGGACTTAAAATGGCAATTAATAACACAGGGCCTCCTTAGAAACGTTTTACGTGTGCGTTATTGCCTGTGGGTAAAATTGCAGGTAAGATGCTGCAAACGGTACTTCACGAGTCTGTTAATGTCCGCTTAAAATGCTGTCCAGCTTCTGGGCAAAGTTAACTTTGGCACTGCAATTTCATGGCCAAGGAGAAAAACCAGAAGGGAAATAATTATTTTGGCCTTAAAGTGGTCTAGGATTCTTCGGTATTCACCGGAAAATGGAACTCCTGTTTTATGGAGTTACATGTCGTCTGACTTCAACATCTACTTTAAGCGTTAGGAGTCTTATCAAATTTGAAAGTTCGAAAAAAATTGCACACAAAACAGGGGCCTACGTTCCATGTCATGGTGGTCTTAGTAAGAGTTATTATGACCTTTCCAGCTATAGAATAATCAATTCGGTATTTTTTAAATCGATATCTGTTTAAAATTAGCCAATAAAGGCACAGGTACCTGGTTGGAACAGTGATTTTTGTGAAGGTCAAGAAATCTCTTAATTCACACAATGTAGAAGTAAATTCTATTGCCATTTCCGGCAACTAGAGCTGACAAATACGTTATTGAAAGTAAAAATTGCAAAGGTTCAATGTTTAAACATTTTGCATTAAAGGTTGTCTTCATCACCACTGAACGATGCGAATGATATATTGATATGCTACTTTGCAAAATGCGTGAATTGCTTTCTTTTGAAACAGTCTGAGAGCAACTGAGTTTCCTTGGGTGAGACTTAATTACCAGTGGTGTCATATTCCCTGCTTTTGAGTTATTTTTCGCGATAGAAAGATCCGTTAAATAGGTCAAAAATGCCACCTACAGGCTGTTTGAAATTGAATAACCATGAGTATCTATAATCGGTGCATTGAAATGATATTCCATTTATTAATTGATTCGGTAATTTTAAAT